AGGAGTATTCTCACAGGAAGAATGTTACTCGCGAGTTCAAAGAAGAAAAAGAAAAAAAAACAAAGTTTTGAAAAACTCACCATGCTCGCAGGGGTGGAAGCACTCGCTGCTACTAGTGTGGTGACGCGGATGACTTGTAAGAATTTATTAACAAGCATAGCATAATTACATGTCGCAAATACGGAATAACGAATAGGCGCGAATAGGTTACACAGGTAGCATAAGTGAGCAGTCGAATGCGGCCGTGGAGTCGATCGACGGGCAGTAGCCGGGAGCGGAAGACGTCCTGAGCCCGAGGCCATGGGTGCGGGCCGCCGTTCCTCGTCCTGTCGTCTGCCTCGAATACCAGCGCATCGCGTTGTTCTCCGCGCAGCCTGTAATCAGTGCTTCCATCTAGGAATTCCATCGGCTACCGCCTGCTCCCAACATCGACCTTACTGAACCCATTACCGTACCCCGCTAGACCCTTACACCTCCCCTTACCATAGAGACGTCCGTCCTCGGACGTAGGTAGCGTGGGGGAGCAGACGGTCGGAGGAAAAAGTAGAAAAAAAGAAGAAGTGTTTATAACAATGGGAAAAATACTCACCATAGGGAGACTGGAGTCTAATCGAAAAGGTCAGGAAGACTGGCTGTGCTGACAATTGTGCGCGCGTTCTCGACCCACTGGATCAAGCGTCCCCAGTTGCGGAGTGTGCGTAGAGTCCTAGCGTATCCCAGGATGAATTGCCCGTGACGACATCTCGTTAGTGCGGCGTTCATCCGTCTCGGATCATTCAAGAAGTCTCCTGAGGTCGAAGAGACGTCCGTGCGAGAAGTAAGGACAATGACAATGTCCATTTCACGGCCCTGTACAGAGTCCACCGTGTGTAGGGCTATTCCTTGCTGAGTCGCGTAGTTGAACAAAAGTTGTTGCTGAGCCTTATAAAACGTCACAATGGCGATGGACCGCGGAGACTCATTTAACGCCACTAATTGACGGACGATTTCCTGACAGCATTCCGCCTCATCCTCGTTGCGATGCGAGCCAGACAAAGAGATCAGTGATCGTCCTGGTACATTAACGAACACTAACGGAAGATCTGGATTAGGTAGTCGGAGTGTTCGGGTCATAAGACAGCGTTCGCTAGCCCGGGTTCCACTGGTCAGAGTGCCGTCGTAGAAGAGATACTTGGGCAGGGCATTCAACGACGAATGGGCTCTGAAGGTGGTGAGTGCAGCGGTCGGGATACGGCTACGTAGAATGACATCCATCGCTCCTCTGGCACCTAGTTGGGCGGCACGGGATGAGCGGGAACACCGCACGTGTGGCTCCAGTTGGTGAGGGTCGCCAATATATATCTGCCGCGCGTAAGGAAACCGTGCTGCAATGGCGACGAAGGCCGGTTCTGGGACTTGAGACGCCTCATGCACGATCAGCACCGTACAGCCAGTTAACAGTTCGTCAAATAGTCCTCCTTTGGCCGTTGAATTGAGAAGTGACGCCGTCGTCATACATATAATGGACGGGAACCGTACACGCATCATTACCTTCACTGCTTCTTCCGTGGCGTCAGAATTTTCCCTTTCTGCTATCCGATACTCCTCTCTATCCTCGTCTGACAGGACGTCTGTAGATGTTTACAGCTCGACATTGGTCGTCGCGAAGGTGGAGGCGGGAGCCGCGGAAGCGCACCGACGATGGAGAATCCGCAGGGTCGGCGTCCTCTATGGCTAAAGTCCGAGGAGTGCTGCTCCGTAAACCCAATCGAGCGTTGGCTGGACCGCGCAACGAAGAGTTCGAATCCGCGAACAGCCGTTCTTCCGCCTAGAGTTCGAAAACGGGGTCCGTGCCAGAAGTTGGTCGATCCAAAGTTACACAAATGCCCACAGAACGTATGCCGTGTAGGACCCTACTGAACCTGTCAATAGCACGCATGAGTGGTAGATGTGATGAAGGTGTTGCGTGGAGTTCTGCATGGAGTGTCCTGGTCTCAAAGACGTGTTCCGAATGAGCGATTGTCGTGCGGGCCACAGTTCGAGAATTAACGATCCACACCTGAGCAGTTCGTCTGCGTGTCCATCCACTGGCCGTTATCATACGTGGTATTCGCACCTGCGAGCAAACCGGATAGGCTTCTAGACTGGGCACAACAGCAGAGAGGTGGTGAGTCTGCTTGTCGTCGAAAGTGAAGTTAGTTGCCGATAATGCAGCGCAGGCGACGCTGAACAATTTTGCCATGTGGTGACAAGAGGAACGTGGATGGTTGACGTAGTTGGTAAGGGATGATGTGAGGTCGTCGATCCATGTTTTGTCGTCAGGCGAGAGGCGTGAAACGGACAATGGCATGATCCCCTCAGTCGGATGTGCGGGGAGAATAGGGCGTACCGCATTAATCAAGAACCACTGGGCCTCACGAGATACTGGAGAATGCGAAAATCGAATGGCTGTCGACACGTTGGGTCGCGTTTCCGCTTGCAGGAGCTCGTCGCGGCGGACTTCCGAAAGGCGTAAATTGCAGATTGATGGCGGAATTTGGAGAGAATCGCGAATTCCGTCGAATGCTGCGCGTATGTCGCAAACCTCGCCACTCCGTTCAGAGTGCATAAGCGATAAGACGTACCCGAAGATGGAACGAGGTGCGGAGCGTGGTGGTACCAGCATAAATTCGTGAACTCTGAAGAAGTATGGCGTGCCCGTATCTAGAATGGTAGATCGTGGAAGTCTAGCACGACGGAGCATGGCAGATCGGTTCGGGCTGCGTAGGACCGCAGGCGTAGGACGTAGCGATTGAACCCATACAAAATCTTTCACTGACATTAAGGACCTGTCAAATCCTTTGGTCCGGCTTAGAACGTTGACAGAATCCTGCGTTAACGGAATACACAAAAGCTCGCGGTGATCGGGGCCGGGAATGAAGAAATCTTTAGCCTCGAGAACTACTCCCTGACCGTAGTTCCTCGCGACGACCTGGTATAGCACTGGTCGAACTTCATCTCGCATCGGAGGACACGCGCACGACGGAGCGGATCCGGGAGGGGTCTTCGGCAGTGGCTGAGGGTCGTCGTTGTCTTCATTATATTGGTAATCCAACAGTTGGTCCAGTAACTGGCAAGCATGCTGTCGAAACGCGATGATATCCGATAACCGAGTGATCTCCATGAT